CTCTTTCTTGAACGCTTGACAGATTTCCCCAGTCAAGTCACTTGGGCTTGCGTCTTGTGGGGTGGGAGGGTTTTAGCTACAGGTCGGCCTCTGGTACGGACTGTTCAGGCACTCTGCTCTCAAACGTGCACCAGGAGCCTGCCTTCCACGGAGCTGTCATTCATCTAGGCTGTCGAACGCACTGGCGCTGAGCTGTTTGCAGGATTTTCTTGGTGCCCTTGTAATGTCTGGGGGACCGTGGGGATGCCCCTCTCTCATCCCTGATGTTCATCTTGGCAATAGTTGCATCTTCACTCTTTTTTCCTTACTGGCCATCCCAGGGAGCTGGCTTTCTTTTTTTTTCAAGAGAGATTTTTGCAATAGGGTACATGTGCTCATCAGAGTTTCTGTACAAGCGTAGTTGCACAAGTGCATGCATATCTAGTACTAGACAGCTCCCTCTGAACGCGGCGTTTGCTCCATCCCACACATTTCGGCATTTGCATTCTTGGTGAGTTTGTGAGATCTCTTGACCACCCTGTGCTTTTCCTTTGACTCACGGGTTATTCGGGTCCTGGGCTACACCGTGGGTATGTTTGCAAGTCCCGTCCCGTGGACCAACCTTGTTCTTTATGCTCCAGTGTAGTATTTTATAATTAACTGTTCCCTTTCTGGTGAACACATAGGTTCAGTTAAGTTACATTTGGGTTTCCCCTCTTCAAAAATGAGAGATCTTGGGGCAGCTGGTGGTGTGGTGGTTAAGGACGCTGAACTCCCACACAAACGCTTAACTCCCACATGGCTGACCGTGATTCGAGTTTGGGACCTGGCAGCTTGCTTTCTCACTTTCTCTCTCTCTCTCCCCCCCTCCCTCCCTCCCTCTCTGGTCAAATTAAAATAAAAAATAAAAAGTTAAATAATTCTTTTTTTAAAAAGTAAGAGGGATCTGTGAGGTTCCTGCTCACCGCAGCAGAGGCCTGACCAGCTCTGCCTACAGGGCGCAGAGCCTGCAGAGCGCCAGGGCCGCCTACGATGACTACCGCAGCGGCTACGATCAGGCGCTCCAGTTCCTGTCCAGCATCCCCAGCTACGAGCCGCAGGAGACAGACAGCCACAGCCAGATGGAGACCAAGCTGAAGAATCAGAAGGTGCAGTGGCTGCTGCTGCTGCCACAGGCCCACTCTGGCCAGGGAGGGGCGGCAAGGCCCTCGGTGCGGGAAAATCTAAGCTTCTGGGAAATGGAGCAGGGAAAGGCCTAGCGGAACCGTCCTCACTGCACCTCAGGAGCTCAGCTCCCAGCTCCTGACTCTCTGAGGATGAGGACCATGCACGCCTTACTGGCTTTCCCTCTCCTGCCCAGCACAAGCCTGCTCTGGAGTGGACGCTCCACACTGGCTCTGTGAGTAAATAGCTGCAGAAACACCAGAGGAGCCCTGGTGGGGAAAATCCCACTTTCCAAGGTCGGATTCCTGTTGCAGTGCTCGAAGCAGTGCCCCAGGGTTAGGGATGAGCAACACGGGACCCCAGTAGCCCAGATTCAGATCCCGACAAGTCACCGAGCAAGAGGAACAGGGGTCATGATGCCACCCTCACAGGGTCCTTGAAGACACGAGGAGAGGCCTGGCATTTCAAGGCACCCGATTATTTGTTTTCTGGCAGAGATGGCCTCGGCCCTCCTGCAGAGGCCTCTGTAATGCACAAACGTGTACAAGGGAGTATTCGTTGTACTCTGTGCCAGAGGGGTGACTGCAAACTCCAGGCACTCCGGGTGCTGTATCGACAAGGTGTTTTGTTGTGACAGTCTGCTTTCTGAAATCTCTGTTGTCTTACAGAACCTGCTAGACGAGATAGCAAGTAGAGAACAGGAAGTACGGAAGGTCTACACCGATTCCCAGCAGTACCAGCAGGCTGTAAAGGTGAGCCCTGGAATCCCTGCCCAGAGGATAAGCGACAGGGCACCTCTTCCACCCAGCCAGTTACGGATGCACTGGCCGTAGCAGAGTCACTGAGGAACCGGTTGTCCTCAGGAGAGCCCTTTGGGAACACTGTAATGTACAGCCTCGGGTGTCACCTAAGGGTTGTACACTCTTTGAAACAGTAGTTTCTTTATGGGGGGAGGGGATTTATCCTAAAGGAAAAACACAAGAATAATGGAGTGGGCCAACTAGTGGTGTGATGCTTAAGGCCACCATGTGGATCCCACATGAACAACTGCATTTTGGGTCCCTGACCCAGCAGCTTAAAAACATACCAGATGTGACCAGCAAGTGGCATAGTGGTTAAGGCACTGGACTCACACATGGCTGAACACAGTCTGAGTCCCGGACCCAGCAGCTTAAAACTCACCCCGGATGCATGTGTTGTGTGCATGCCCAAAATTCTTAGAGAATGGAAAAGAAGGGATTGCAGTGTGGCCATCCCCCTGGGGAGTGATTTCTCATTTTCTGTCTCTCTGGCAAGCATGTGCACTCTATAGCAAAAATCTCTCCAAAAAAAAAAAAAATCCCAAGAGGTGGAGGATTGTAGCGTAGCTACCCCACTCCCAGGTGTTCACTTGCTCGTTCTCTCTGGCAAGTACATATGACCTATAGCAAGTTAAAAAATGACTTTTTAAAATGTTTTTAATTAATGCAAGATAAACAGAATCATTTTAACAGCATTAGTTACAGCAGCAAAAGAACCAGAAATGGCGTGAATGGCCAGTGACTGAGGACTGGCTGCCACTCGATGGGTTTTAAGCCTCAGACTGGTCAACCTGAAGCTGGGGTGGTAGAGCATGAGAAAGGTTATGGTAGGCTCGAGTGAAGCAGCAGAACGTAGACTACTCCCCTGACATGTGGGAAGGCTTGGGGAGCACCTGGCTGACCCTATGGGGTAATGGGAACTGTGGGGTGCTTCTCCTCATTGGGCGCTTCCTGGGGAGGGGTGTGTGCTGCCAACGTGCTGGTCACTATCAGCATAGGCAACTGTGAGGAAGGCCTGTCCAGTGACAGGCCAGCTCCTGGCAAAGGCAGGTCTGGGGGTCTGGAAGGCATGGGACATTGGGCTCTCCCAGCTGCCCTCACCTGCCTCTGCACTGCTCCCCTTCTCCCCAGGACTATGAGCTGGAAGCAGAGAAACTGAGGTCCCTTCTTGACTTGGAGAATGGAAGGAACAGCTCCACGAGCAAGAGAGCTAGGCTCCAGTCTCCTGCTGCCAAAGTGAAGGACGAGGTGAGCTTTGTGCCAGGCCAGCCCCAGAGGTGTGCTCACAGTAGGGAAGCCCACAGGAGCCCTCCTGGTGCAGACAGGCTTGGCAGGAGAAGACAATAACCCGTTCTGTGGTGGCGACATCAATATGCCAGGGGAGGTTTAAGATCTGGGACCTTCCCACAGCGCCTGCACCCACGTGAGAACGTGGAGGCAGAGTTGCTCAAGCTCGCTGTGGCCAAGACTGAAACGGGATATTCTGACACCAAACAGTTTTCTCTGCACTAACGCGGCTGTAGGTGGGGACAGACAAGCTAGTCCTCTACCCACAAAGGCCAACTTCTCAGAAACCTTATCCGAGGTGTCCATCTCTTTCTCGCTTAGCCTCTTGACTCTTCTCCCAAAACTCTTCTCCGTAGGAAGCGGCTCTTGCTGCCAAGTTCACGGAAGTTAACGCCATCAACAGACAGAGGCTACAGAACCTGGAGTTTGCTCTGAATCTCTTGAGACAGGTAATCAGTCTCAGTAGGAAATTCTGCTTAGGGACCAGCAGTTGGCGTAATGGCCATGTCGCTGAACTCCCACAGTGGATCGCAGTTCAAGTTCCGGGCCCAGTGGCTTAAAATCACGACAGGTGTGTGTGCGTGCGTGCCCAAGATCCCGAGAGGAGAATGGAGGAGAAGGGATTGCAGTGTGGCCATCCTCCCGGGGGGGGGTGATTTCTTGCTGTCTCTCTGTCTCTGTCTTTCTGGCATGCGCACGTGCCCTATAACAAGGAAAAAAAAAAAACTCTCAAAAAAAAAAATTCTGTTTAAAACCATCTAACTGGTAAGAAACAAGTCTTACTCTGACTCAGAGAAACAGCCTGTGCATTAATGGAGCTTCCCTTTCCAACATTTCTGGGCATGACCAGTTGCAGATACTGGCCCAGCCAACGCTTCTGTTGACGCAGGATAGCATATGAATCCCGTTCAACGTAGCTTTGCTGGGAACCCAGTAAAAGTTATTTTTAGAAGTCCATGAAGTTTCTGACAACAGTGTTTGTAGTAGCTAGAAACAGGAAGGAATTCAAGTTTCATCAGCAATGGGCCACTGAAATGCTGGTCTGCCCACACAGTGGCCGCCGTGCTGCCACTTAGGAAGCGGCGCTCCATGCCACCATGTCACAGGCAGCATGCACCAGAAGCAGGAGACTAATTTGTGCAGAGAAAATAAGGACTCAGCTCACACTAAGTCAGTGCATGCACATGCGAGAACATAGGGCTCAGGGAAGCAGGCAGACTTGCTCCAGCTCGCTGTGGCCGACTGAAACCTGGGTATTCTGACACGAAAGTTTCACCGCGCACTTTTCTGCTGCTTTGAAATAGTTTATCTAATTTACTTTTTAAAACCTTAACTAGTGGTTTAGCCATTTTAGAAAGTAATGCTAGAACTGACCTGAGCCAGCACTGAGGGAGTCCCTCAGGATCCTAGACGACCAGTCTGACCTGCTCGCTGGTGACCCAGATCCGCTCTGTCTGGGTAGGGCCAGGCGAGGCCTGCCAGAGAGCTTGGCTTTAACCTTGCTTTGTCTTCTCCATTGCAGCAGCCAGAAGTGGAGATGACCCATGAGACCCTGCAAGGGAGCAAGTCAGGCTCCGGAAGAGAGGAGACGTGGAAGATCAAGAAGGAACTGGATGAGGAGACTGAGCGGAGGCAGCAGCTGGAGACTGAGGTCAAGAGTGCGCAGGAGGAGATCCGGACGCTGCAAAACCGGCGGCCTCAGGAATCCGTGGTGAAGAAGGAGGTGCTCAAGAAGGTGCCAGACCCTGCCTTGGAGGAGAGCTTCCAGCAGTTGCAGCGGACCCTGGCGGAGGAGCAGCACAAAAACCAGCTGCTGCAGGAGGAGCTGGAGGCTCTGCAGCTGAGGCTGCGTGCCCTGGAACAGGCGGCTAGGAACGGGGGGCAGGAGTATGTGGTCAAGGAGGTCCTGCGCATCGAGCCCGACCGCGCCCAGGAGGATGAGGTCTTGCAGCTGCGGGAGGAACTGGAGGCGCTGAGGAGGCAGAAGGGTGCCCGCGAGGCAGAGGTGCTGCTGCTGCAGCAGCGCCTGGTCACCCTGGCTGAGGAGAAGAACCGGGCATGGGAGAAGGTCACTGAGAGGGAGGTAGTGAAGCTGCAGAATGACCCCCAGCTGGAGGCAGAGTACCGGCAGCTGCAAGAGGAGCACCAGCGGGAGGGTGCCCTCAGGGAGAAGCAAGAAGAGGAGCTAAGCTTCCTCCAGGACAAGCTCAAGAGGCTGGAGAAGGAGCGGGCCATGGCCGAGGGCAAAATCACTGTAAAGGAGGTGCTCAAGGTGGAGAAGGACATGGCGGTCGAGAGGGAGGTCAGTGACCTCACCCGCCAGTACGAGGACGAGGCCGCCAGGGCTCGAGCCAGTCAGAGGGAGAAGACTGAGCTGCTCAGGAAGATATGGGCCTTGGAGGAGGAAAATGCCAAAGTGGTGGTGCAGGAGAAAGTCCGGGAGATCGTGCGGCCCGACCCCAAGGCGGAGAGCGAAGTGGCCAACCTCCGCCTGGAGCTCGTGGAGCAGGAGCGGAAGTACAGGGGTGTGGAGGAGCAGCTGAAGAGCTACCAGAGCGAGCTGGAGGCCCTCAGGAGCCGGGGCCCACAGGTGGAAGTCAAGGAGGTGACCAAAGAGGTCATTAAGTACAAGACGGATCCCAAGATGGAGAAGGAGCTTCAGCGGCTCCGGGAGGAGATCGTCGACAAGACCAGACTGATCGAAAGGTGTGACTTAGAGATCTATCAGCTGAAGCAGGAGATCCAGTCCCTGAAAGACACCAAACCCCAAGTCCAAACCAAAGAGGTGGTCCAGGAGATCCTCCAATTCCAGGAAGATCCCCAGACCAAGAAGGAAGTGGAGTCTCTGAGGGTGAAACTATCAGAAGAACAGAAGAAGCAGGTGGATCTGGACAGGGAGAGGACTTCCCAGGAGGAGAAGATCAGACAGAAGGAGGAGGAGCTCTCCCAGGTGAAGGAGAGGGTGGTACATCAGGAGGTGGTCAGGTTCGAGGAGGAGCCAGGCCTGAGGGCCGAGGTGAGCGCATTCACCGAGAGCATCGACGTGGAGCTCCGGCAGATTGACAGTCTGCGTGCAGAGCTGCGGGGGCTGCAGCGCAGGCGCGGGGAGCTGGAGCGGCAGCTGGAGGAGTTGGAGCGTGAGCGGCAGGCGCGCAGGGAGGCCGAGCGGGAGGTGCAGCGCCTGCAGCAGCGGCTGGCTGCGCTGGAGCAGGAGGAGGCAGAGGCCAGGGAGAAGGTGACCCGCAAGCAGAAGGTGGTCCTGCAACAGGACCCCCAGCAGGCCAGAGACCACGCTCTGCTCCGACTCCAGCTAGAGGAGGAGCAGCACCGGCGGCAGCTCCTGGAGGGTGAGCTGGAGACCCTGAGGAAGAAGCTGGCTGCCCTGGAGAAGGCCGAGGTTAAGGAGAAGGTGGTCTTCTCCGAGAGCATCCAGGTGGAGAAAGGTGACACCGAGCAAGAGATCCAGAAGCTCAAGAGCAGCCTGGAGGAGGAGAGCCAGAGCAAGAGAGAGCTAGATGCTGAGGTAAACCAGCTGGAAGCTAAGCTCTCGGACCTGGAATTCCGCAACTCCAAGTCATCCAAGGAGCTGGATTTCCTGAGGGAAGAGAACCATAAACTGCAGCTGGAACGGCAAAACCTGCAGCTCGAGACCCGAAGGCTCCAGTCAGAAATTGAGACGGCAGGGATGGAGACCCGCGACTTTAGGAACATGACCACGGTGGACCCTGGGACCAACCTCGACTCCAGGCTGCGGTCCCTGGAGAGGGAACTGGACGACCTCAGGAGGCTCTCTAAGGACAAAGACCTCGAGATTGATGAGCTGCAGAAGCGCCTGGGCTCCGTGGCCGTCAAGCGAGAGCAGAGGGAGAACCATCTGCGGCGCTCCATCGTGGTCATCGACCCCGACACAGGCCGGGAGCTGTCCCCGGAGGAAGCCCACCGGGCTGGGCTCATCGACTGGAACATGTTCGTGAAACTCCGGAGCCAGGAGTGTGACTGGGAAGAGATATCAGTGAAGGGTCCCAGCGGGGAGTCTTCAGTGATACATGACAGGAAGTCCGGCAAAAAGTTCTCCATTGAAGAGGCCCTGCAGAGCGGCAGGCTGACCCCTGCTCAGTACGACCGCTACGTCAACAAGGACATGTCAATTCAGGAGCTGGCAGTCCTGGTGTCTGGGCAGAAGTAGGTACAACCTTCCCAAGGGTCTCTTAGAGGCCGATGGCTGGTTGGCAATGACCTCAATGACCTCCTGGGTGCCGTCTTCCCTTCTCTCTGGCCCTGTGCAAGCCCAGCATTTTGTCCATGCCCTCGCTGGCAGGCTGCTCAAAGTGCAGCTCACGTAGGCACTGGATAGCCACTGGCTGAAAACGAGCGTCTCTCATCTCAACCCTCCTGTGACCTGGATGGATGACCTTCCACCGCTGATGACCACGCCTCTCTCCCCGCTTTCCTACGTACTCCCACCAAGACTCCTCGTGTGATGCCTGGAAATGATCTGAAAACTACCCAAGCACAAGGTGACTTGGCACACAGGTCCACTCAATGCAGCACTGACCTCAGCTTACCAGAAAGCAAGACTTGGGCAAGGCCTCCTTCCCACCTGGAGGTCGAAGGCCAGGGCCCTGGGGGCTGCCGCCCTGGGCTCACACCTCCAAGTTCCTGGATGAAAACCAACTTTCTGTCAGAGAGGCCACCTCAGTCCTTTCTCCACTCACGAGACAGAGCTGGGCTCGGGCCAGAAAAGGCACACAGAGCCAGAAGAGCATCCAGCCCCACCTGCTGGGGTGGATGCTGACCATCGGCCAGACTGTCCCAGGAAGAGGCACCACCGGAGTTCTTCATGCTCTGAGGTTCAGACACTCATGGGGGCTGTGGCTGTCAGCCTTAGTCCCAGCACCTTATCTTGCTCCTATCTCATTGGTATGCAGGTATATGAAGCAGTTGGTTACGCACCAAATGGATTTGTTTCTCTGTATCGCATATATTACGTAAGAAAATGGGAATAGGGGACTTTATTTATCACGTGAAAATAAAAACCTGGTGGCTTGATTCTAATTTCCTGGCAAGCATGTTTCTTCCTTTGCATGTGATGTTCATTCCCCCTACCGCTTTCGGCCAAAATGGATACTCCACCTATACCAGCTCCTCCAGGGGAGCAAGTACTTGCAAATACGTAGAGAATGAGAAAAAAAAGTTTTGGAAACCTTGAAACAATTTATTGAGTTGCTTTATACAAGATTAACAATTTCCACACCATCCCTAACACCAACACAGTGGCTGCACAAAAAGCTGCAGCCCCTCTCACACCTAAGAAACGGCCACGCCCAGGAAGTGCTCATACATTGGCAGCCCAAGGAGCCCCAGGCCCCAGGCCCCAGGCCCAGCTCCGCCCCACCCCTCTGCAGGCAGCAAGGCCAGATCTGCCTTCCATGGCTGTTTAAGTCATTCACTCTTTCGTTACCACAAATAAAGCATAAACAAGAAAAAGAAATCTCATAAACTCCCCATCAAAGAAACGTTTCCCTGAGGCAAGAGGCATCACTAGATTCCTAAAAATGAGGGCGTTCTGCTCCAGCTGCACACTCAGTGGAAATGGGAGGTGGGAACGCAGGGTGGGGAGGTGGTGGCAGAGGTGGGGTTGGGGCCGGTGGTCATGGGCAGAGAAGCCTAGAGGATTCCCACTGCTTAGCCTTCACTGACGGCCTCTGCTCCGTGTTGAGCTCAGCAATACAAATCTCTTCTTTGGCTCTTTTGCTACTACCTAAGACTATTCTGTAAACAAACTGGAAATCCAAGTTGGAAAAAATATATATAATAAAGGGACAAGGAATCCACTTAGCCCAATGTGAAACACGGGTTGTAGGGTCGGTTCTTAGATAAAAAAGGAATCAGAGCAGAGGCCAGGCCAAGTGGCTGAGAGGTCCTGCTCTCCAGGACACCGGGAAGGGTAAAAACCTCTCCAGGATTCTGAGTTTCTGAGCACTGTGCCCAGGAGCCAGAAGAGCTGTGGGTGTTTCACCAGGTACACATGTGAGGACACCGTGCACCCTCCATGTGTCCGAGATCACAGTTGGGGCAGTTAGTTCAGACTCACCTGTGGCCAACTCCACAGGACAGGCAAGTGCCCTCTAGATCCTTGTGGAACAGCCCTGGCTGAGCACGGCCACTGTGATGACTTGGAAGCTGCAGGACCACGCCCCAGGCTCCCTGCACATCACCTTTATGTTAGCACGAACCCCCCCCCCCCCGCCCCCGGACGCCCAGGCCCGGCCCCACCCACA